GGGGAGGAGGACGACGAGGACGAGGAGGAGGAGGAGGAGGAGGAGGAGGAGGAGGAGGAGGGGGAGGGGGAGGACGGGGGACCCTTCGCCAGATTGATCTTTGGCGCGGGGCCACATGGGGTCCATCCAGCGCTGACCTGCGCGTGGGGATTGGGCTCCCCCGCGGCCCCGTGGCGTCGCACGCCAGAGGCCACTCTCTTGCCTGGGGTCGCTCCTGTGTGTAGCCGAGGCTGTTACCGGCCACGCCCGGCGGCGGAGGGCGGGGCGACGCTGGAGCCGGCTGGGCCGGCCTGCCGGTCGTGTTCTGCGAGAGCAACCCGGATCTGGTGGACGGGGCTGCCACGTCTCGGGAGCGGCCAAGAGAGGGGCCGAGGATTGGGGGGGATGTCACGGCTGGGGCAGTGACACCTCCCAGGTGTCATTGCTCCCTCTCCTTCTTTCAACACGCCCCCTGGCCCCCCCCCCCTTGTCCACGCACATGCCTCTGGCCTTTCTAGCGCGCGCACCCCACCTCTTCCCATGGCCTCCCTCTTCCGCGCACCCGAGCATCAGCGGAGGCAGAAAAGGTGCTCGCTAAGTTCAGGTCTGGTGCGGGGATGCGTCTCGGGGAGCTCAGCTGCAGCCACGTCGCTGGCTTCGTGCGTGGCAGCTGACCCATCCGCAAAAGCAAGGTCTACTATTGTCCCTCCTTCTCCTCCTGGGCCTCTTCCTCCTCTTCCTTGTCCTTCTCCTCCACCTTCTCCTCCTCCTCCTCCTCCTCCTCCTCCTCGGCGTTCTACTTCACCTTCTTCATAGCCTCGTTGAGCAGTGTGTATATATATGTAGTAATGTGGTATGATATATATATATATATACATATATAAAGAATGTATCAACCCTGATGACAGAAAGGAGATGTGGGTTGGGCAGTCTGCGAACAACATCGTTGGCATGAAGGGGGCTGTGGCCGCCAAGACTGCAGCTGGCCCATGTGTCCACCAGTAGCGGCCACGTGTACCGCAGCAATGGCAGCCCCCTCGCGCGGAGCGGTTCCCTGGTGCGGGGACTCAGTGCCGTGGATGGCGCTGCCACCTGGGAATTGAGGGCTACGTCGCCACCCTGGAGAAGGAACGTATATTGTTTCGCCATGAAGGTAACGGATCCTGAGGGCAACGAGTCCTGGAGTGTTTTGCCCGAACTCGGGCACTCCGGGGCTTGCCCGAGTTTCAGGACCGTCAAGAAGCGGCTCCGGGTGACAAGTTGGTCCTGGGGAAAAGCCCCAGGATCCTGGACCCGTCTGTTTCATCACAAAGTGCTCCAAGTTCCAAAGCTGACTTGGGCATGCGTGCTGGAATCTCACCGGCCAGCGCCGCAGTCATCATGATCGACTCGCTCGACAGCGCCCTAGTTAAGGCAAGTATGTCTGGCCACCTTGTTTGAGGACGTCGATCACTTTCAGACAAATTTGTAGGTGGTAGCCATAAAGCCGTATTTCGTAAGCAGGCTAAAATCAATAACAGCAGTTATAGCACAAACACGCTGATAACCAAAATACGCATGTCAACCTAACAATGGCATGATCAGCAACGGTGGCATCAGCAGCAACCGCATCAGCAACGCTAGCAGAGGCGTCCGAGAACACAATCCTAACGACTAGGTAAGAAGCGTGCATGCTGAAACAGACTTGGGGAACGACCACACGAACAGCAACCGCTACATCAGCAGCAACCGCATCAGCAAAGCTGGCAGATGTCCCCGAAAGCACAATCCTTCTGCTTAGGTCGGGACACTCGTATTCTGACACGCATGGTGGTCGTCGTCATCGTTGTCGTCATCATCAGCATCATCATCATCATCATCATCAGCATCATCATCATCACCATCCTCCTCCTCCTCATCATCATAAGCATCATAACCATCCTCACCATCCTCATCATAATCACCGTCATCACCATCATCATCGTCAGCATCGTCAGCGTTGTCGTCATCGTCATCGTCGTCAATGTCATCATCACCGCCAACACCAGCACCAACACCAACATCCATAGCATCATCATCAGCAGTAATCTCCTGAACATCATCATCAGCAGCAGCAGCGACATCATCGTCATTGTCGTCATTGGCATTCGCATCATGGTTAACATCATCATCATCAACATCATCATCAGCATCATCACCAGCATTCAGCATCGTCGTCGTCCTCGTCCAAGTCCTCGACCTCGTCGTCCTCTCCCTCAATCATCATCATCATCATCATCATCATCATCATCATCATCATCATCATCATCATCATCATCATTCACCCGTTCCCCTCCCCTTACCTCATCCACCTTCCTTCTTATCGTCGTCCTTCCCTCGCCATCATCATCACCATCCTCCCCATCCTCCTTATCATCCTCCCTCCTTCCCTGACAGAGTTCCTTTATCGTGTTTCCAGGGGCTCCCAAAGAAAGCCGTGGAAGCTTCCATGAGGTGCCGCTTGGTTTGGTCTCCACGGGCTTCCGAACCGAACTCCTCTTTCCCCCGCCCCCCACCCCGTGCCTCCCCTGCCTCCCCCAATCCACCGCTCCTCCTCCCCCAGCTCCTCTTCCTCTTCCTCCTCCTCCTCCTCCTCCTCCTCATCCTCATCATCATCATCATCATCATCATCATCATCATCATCATCATCATCATCATCTTATTCTTCTTATTCTTCTTCTTCATCTTCTTCTTCTTCTTCTTCTTCTTCTTCTTCTTCTTCCTCCTCCTCCTCCTCCTCCTCCTCCTCCTCCTCCTCCTCCTCCTCCTCCTCCTCCTCCTCCCCCTCCTCCTCCTCCTCCTCCTCCTCCTCCTCCTCTTCCTGCCCCTCCTCCGGGGCAGGAGCCGACGGACGACGACGCCGCGGAGGCGGGCAACGCGACCTCGAGGCTCCGAGGGCGGGCCGGAGCTAAAGGTGGACCATGAGGAGGCTGCGGCGGGGGGCTCCAGAGGAGCCTCCCTGAGGGAAAGAGCAGGGGTGGAGGAGGAGGAGGCGGAGGCGGAGGAGGAGGAGGCGGAGGAGGGGCAGGAGGAGGAGGCGGAGGCGGAGGCGGAGGAGGAGGAGGAGGAGGAGGAGGAGGAGGAGGAGGAGAGGAGGTGGAGGAGGAGGAGGAGGAGGAGGAGGAGGAGGAGTGGAAGGAGCCCTCCCCCCTCTCCTCCTCCCGGGTCCCCATCAGCCCGTTGCCCCCCCCTTGGACCTCTGCGAAGGTCGGTCCCCGTAGGTGGACATACCAGGCTCTCTTCTCTCGGCATCGCTCGGACTTGGGTATTTTTCTCGGCGGGGACCATCGAGGATAATCCTGGACCATCGAGCAAAACAACACGCACGAAGTCGAACAATGCACGAGGAATGGACGTCCGAGCGATGCGAGTTCTTGGATCTAGAATTTACCTTCACTGCTGCGCAGAGACGCCTGCACGGTCCTCATTGCCGATGGATCGACAAGGTGTTCTTGTGAAAAGGTCGTTCCGCCTGTTCTGGCCCACCAAGCTTCGGTGCGACACGCTATCCACCTCCTGGCCCCCCAGCGTCAACGTCCCGAGCCTTTCCGAGCTTCCCGCCCCGCGGAGCGGAGCGACGCGCTATCCGCTCGCAGGGCATAGCGTGCCGCTTGGGCCGCGACACGCCAATTAAGAGTTCCCGACCGTGCATCCGGGCCGCGATGCCGTGGATGCGCGGCCGCATGGACACGTGCCGCGCGGGGCACCCGCAGGCAAAACACCCCGCGTGTACGCGGCCGTGGCCCAGGGGGCCCAGTCCGCGCGAGGCCCTGGGCACGGGCTTGCCTTCCTCTCGGGTGTTGCTGGGAGTGTCCCTTATCCCTGGTCCAAGGTGCCGATCCCGGGAGGCAGCCAGGACCTCTCTTCCTCCAGGGCCTCGCCGCCACTCAGGCGCCCGGCCGCGGCAGGCCGCGCAACGTTCCACCGCCTCAGCGCAGCACTGGCGATCGGCGCGGGGCGGGCCCATGGCAGCGGCGGCGCCGGCAGGGGCACGGTCGACGTCCCGTAAGATCTGAGCCGGAGCATATAGCACAGATCGGGTATAGCCAGTTAGTGATAGAGCCCTGGAGCCTCTAAATTAACCAGAATCATCACACCAGGTCTGCCGTAGCTAATGTTTCTTCGAGTGACGGCAGTTCCGGTCAGTGAAACGGGGCGGGGGGGCGTCCCCCAGTACACATCACTAAACCATGTCCCACTAAACCCAGTTCTGCCAACGCCCGAACAGATTTGGGGGTCCAGAGCGGGAGCAGTAGCATTTGCAGCAGATGTTGCAAGGATGCAGTGGTTTGCGGTCTGGGCGCAATAGGTGCGCGTGGGTCCACTCGTGCACGCTTTCAAACGCCACAGTTCGCGCCCCTCGCAATAGTTCGTGCCCCCCAGCAATCGTTCGCGCAAGAGCTCGCGCACCTCCCACAGCTCCCCAATTCATTGGCGTTGCCCCCAGCGCTCCAGGCTGAATCAGAGTTACCCTTTGCCGGAGTGGCTGTTGGTGCGGGCCCACTGGGCCCCCCCGATCGCCGAATGCGATGCGATGGCCGCGGCGCGGGCGCTTGGGTTTGGCCCCCTCGCGCGTCGCCCAACGCCGCGCACCAGGAGGCCACTCCTGCCTCGGATCGCCCCTGCGTGCGGCCAGCGCGGGGAAGAGGCATGCCCAGGCACGCTCGCGTCGCGAAAAATTGCACGACGCGAGGTTCTCGGCCGTTCTCGGCCTCCCGGGGCCCTGGTCGGGCCGCGGGACCGTCAAGAACGACTCGGGATGGAACGCCAGTCCTGAGGAAGAGGTCGAAACCTCTGGGGAGCCACGGCGCGAGCAAAAACACGACGTCGGATGTCTGGGGAGGAGGCACGAGGAGGAGGCACAGGCAGGACGCTGAGATCCCGGCGTTGCGATTGGTTCGCTCAGGAGGTTTTCGCCCGGTTTTGGGCCCCGGGGCCCTCACGGATCGATCCGTCTCGAGGCATGCCGCAGGAGGGTGGGGCTTTGATGTTTCATTATGTTTCGGCGGCGAGCGAGGGGGGGAAGTGGGAAGGGGTGGGCCTTCTCAGAAGGCTCGGAAGTCCCCCGGCCTTCTGAGAAGTTGCCGAACTATCCCCAAAGACACAGAAAGCTTCTCAGAAGGCGCGAGGGCTTCTGAGAAGCCCCGCCGCCCTCTGAGAAGGCCTTCTCCCTCTCACTTCCCCCGCCCTCGCTCGCCGCCGAATGTTGGCTTGTCTCGGACGGGGAGGCACGAGGGACGAGGGCAGGAGGAGGAGGAGGAGGAGGAGGAGGAGGAGGGAGGAGGGAGGAAGGGGAGAAGGAGGAGGAGGAGGAGGAGGACGAGGAGGACGAGGAGGAGGAGGAGGAGGAGGAAGAGGAAGAGGAAGAGGACGAGGAGGAGGAGGAAGAGGAGGAGGAGGAGGAGAAGGAGGAGGAGGAGGAGGGGCAGCGGCTCCTGCAGGAGGAGAGCGGAGAGAGGGGCCGAGAGGGAGGGGGCCGACGGGAGGGCGCCGCTGAGCCCCGCACAGAGGCCCCTGATGGGCTCCGCGGCGGAGGCGCTGGACGACGCCGAGGCCGAGGAGGCCGAGGAGGCCGAGGAGCACTCGGAGGACCCGCGGGTTCTCAGAGTAGGGAGAGGCACACATGATTCATTCCTAAGTCTTCCAAAGTTCTTGGATTTGGAGGGAGGCCAAGATCCTGTAATGTCTAATTCCGCTATCCTGGACCTCTTCCTGGCCACTGGGGGGCCAGGAACAATTAGAAACGAGCACAATTAGAAATGAGCACGATTAGAAATGAACGACGTGCACCCATACCGATACCCTCCGCCCGTGTTCCCCCCGTTTTCCGCCTCCCGGGAGGCCCCCGTCACCACCGCTGGATTCGCCTCGAAATCCCAGTCAGAACGCACCCCGGGAGAGGTCCGGGGAGTACGTCGGAGGAGGCCGAGGAGCACTCCGAGGACCCTCCCTCGAAGAAGACAAAAAGCCATAGACATAAACTTTATGCTTATGGCGTTCTGTCCTCTTCTACTCTTGTTCTCCGCCCTCCGCGCTCGACGGATAGCGAAGGCGCAGGCCCAGTCGCCCGCCAGGCTCGGATGTCCCTCGGCGCCTCGGTGCGCTCTACAGCGTCGACTGAGAGAGTAATGCATGCGAGTTCGGCGGGTGCGCATCGCGTTTCCCATCTGTGGCATGAAGGACTGAGGAGGTGGGAGGAAGGACTTCGGGATGCCCTCCCGGCCGCGGCACAACGGCCCTTCTCTCGGCCAGCGTTTAGGAAAACCAGGCAGGCAGGTGGGCGTTCACTCAATGCTTGCGCCTGCTGTGTTCGCCCCCTCCTTTCTGTCCCTCTCCCCTTCCTCCTCTACAGTCGGCCCTGCGTGCTGTTGCAGCACTGACCTGTCTGGGTATATCTATCAGCTTCACTCCCAGCCTGCATTGCACAGGAGGCTGGCTTGCTCCATCGCCCGAGAGAGAGAACGGAAAGGGCCGAGGGCCGAGGCGCCCGAGGCAGAGTCGCGTCGAGCCCCCCCGCCCGCGCGCGCACAGCTCGGCGGGCGCAGGCCGGCCGCCTGCTGGAGGGGAGGGGCCCGCGGCAGCGCGGTCCGTGCCGAGGCTGTGCTCGCGCTCCTCGCCCGCCACCCGCGCGCGGTCGCCTCGGGTCAACAACGGCACGCGTTCGGACCGAGATGAGGGGTCGAGGTCGGTTCGGAGAGGGTGCCCTAATGTTTTTCGTGTCTTCTGGATGCTCCTGTGCATTCTGGGGGTGGGTACCCGTGGATGCTCTGTGTGTTTGAGGCGACGGGGGGTCTCATGTCATTGCGGGATGTTTTTCTGGCCTGGGTCCGACTGTAATCGGCATGGCCGCATCCTTCTGAAAGCCACCTGACATGGAAGGACCTCCAGCTCGATCCCTCTTTATAGTGGTCCCCCAGCGAAGTTCGAGGTCCCCACGTTTCACAGTCATGATTGCTGACCATAAGCGTGGCCACCAGGAGCGCAACCCTCGAGAGCCACAACACGTGCCTCACCCATCCAAAAAGGGGCGTCATCGACGCAGGGAAGCCCGACAGCGACCCATTGAAGCTCGACGCGGATCTGGAAGTACACGAAATGACTCCGGGGCCAGAACGCCATGACCTCAGAGCGTCCCAGTCGAACATTCTAGCGACGCTACCAGGTGCTCCTGCGCAGCAAAGAAACGCTCCCACGAGGGTGCGAAGAGAGCAACGATTGTGCCCCAAAAAACCAGTCATCAAAGAACGCTGTGAGTGTCAAAGAAGATGGCTTGACAGCCAAGGTATCTCGAGAAGTGTTGCAACTGGAACGCGTCATGCACCGCCGTTATTTCAACGAGAGCCACAACAACGCGACGATTCCACACAGGAAGGCTTGTCACCCAGCAGGAGGACGAAGGCGACAGCGGCGAGAGGGAACGACGAGGAAGACGTCGACAGTTCAGGGGCGAACGGCGAGGCCAGGGTCCGGACAGCACGGAGGACCCCCTGCATCCGACTCCTCCCAGGACAGGATGGAAGGGCCAGTTTCGCGACATGTTGCCTGCACCAGCCGAGGGAGCTCGCACATGCAGGCGCGTCGCGTCTGCTGGCCCTGGGCCAGGTCGCCATCCTCGAGGACGGCAGCGCAAGAGTGCGACGACGGCTGCGCGTCGCGGCAACGCGCGGCGCGGAGCGAGAAGCTGGGCGGCCCAGACGACAGCACGGCGCCGCCCGGTGCGAGCCAGCCCGTCCCGAACAGCACCACCGCCGGACAGGGCGCCGACGAGAGTCAAGCAGGGGAACGGAGGGCAACATCGCGGCCGTCGTCCGCGCGGTCGCGGCGGAGCGGTGTTCCTGCTCTGTTTTTCCCTTCTGCGTCTGTCTTTCCTTTCTGCGTGTCCTCCTCCTCCTGCTCCTCTTCCTCCTCCTCCACCCCCTCCTCCCTCCTCCCTCCTCCTCCCCCCCCCCCCTCCTCCCCTCTTCCTCCTCCCTCTCTGCGCGCTCGCCTTGCTTCCACCTGCCTCGCCACCTTGGAGGGAGGAGCGGGGCTGTGTGTGCGTGAGCGTGTGCGTGAGGGCGGTGGGGGGGGAAGGTCTTCGAAGAAATGGGCCCGTCCAGGCAGGCAGCTTCCGCCTCGAGACGAGTCCCTGTGGCGGTCCCTTCGCTTGGACCCCATGCCAATTCGAGTTTCTCCTTGGATTTCTGGCAAGCCTGTGCACCCCACGCACGTGCTGTGGCGTAAGGCCTCCTTTTACTTTTGTGGCGAGTGCGGGTCTTGGGCCAACAGATCTCCCGGTGCTTTCTTGAGGGGTCCGTGCCCTGCCGTCACGATCGGACCGCATGCTGTAACCAAGGCGCAGTTGGAAGTCTTGCGGAGGATTTGTAAAGGCCTTCCTCCAGCCAAGACGCATCTTGGGCTGATGCTTAAAATGTTCCTCCCCGGCGGCCAGTCCCTGGCAGGAATCTGCCCTTGGAGCTTGGGTGTTAGCGGTGCACTGTAAACGACTCCCCTCCTCCTCCTCCCTCCTGCTCCTTCTCCTGATCCTGCTTCTCCTCCTCCTCTTTTTTCTCCTCCTCCTCCTCCTCCTCCTCTTCCTTCACCTCCTCTTTCTCCTGGCCCAAGCCGTTGTGGTTCGAGGGCTGGCGCGTGGGGAGGAGACGCTCTCCGCCCACCCCCTGCCCGGGGCCGCGTGTTCTTCGGCGCGCTGAGTGAGAGAGTCTCGGGTCGTGTTCGACTGGACAGGCCAGTGATGGATCGATCCCGCTCGAGCTGGCATGCCCAGAGGTCAGCCGCTCACGATCTGCCATGACTGCAGAGGGTGGGTGTACAACTGGAGGCTGGACAGACAGGGGGGGAAGTGTCACTGCGGTGCCACCTTGGCGCGGGCGCACTGCAGGTGCTGCAGGCGGGGCCGCGCGCGGCGGCGCCCAGGGGGATGCGCCCTGGGGGCCCAAGCCTGGCGAGTGCCCGCTGCAGCGCGCGCTCGCCATCTTGGCCAAGCACGACCCCGAGCTGGGCAACACTGTGCGCGCGGAGGTGGACAAGAAGAAGGCCGCTTCCGTGCCAGGAGGGGCGCCGCCTCAAGAGGACGTTTGGCAGGACCTCTCGCAGGCGAAGGCGGCGCAGCAGAGGAAGGCGAAGGAGCTGTTCGGGGCCGAGGGGGACTTCCAGATCAAGAAGCAGGCCATCCACAAGGCCAAGGAGCTGCGTGACAGGCTCCTCGGGGAGGCGCACGAGGCCAACCAACCAGCGCCCTGAGAAGGCCTCGGGGGACTACTACAGGGCCACCGCCAGCGGGGGGGGAGAGGGAGGCGGCCGCCGAACCCTCGGTGCCCGACTTCGCGGTGGACCCTGCGCTGCTGCAGGACCTCGGCGGCCACGAGGACGGCAAGGTCAAGGAGGATATCTTGTCCTTTCGAGCCAAGCTGGAACGCGTGCAGCAGGTGGGCAAGGCTGCATTCGCTGCGCGCAAGGAGACGCTTGCACGGCACGCCGAGGAGGCCCAGAGGCTCCATGAGAAGGCGGCCGCGCACCAGGCGGAGCTCTCGGACCAGATGGGCGTGCCGCGCAAGACCCTGCCGACCCCAAGAAGCGCAGGGTGGGAGAAGAGGCGGGCGCGGCGACCCCGCAGGCGGCCAAGCAGGAGGAAACAGAGCCCGACATGGAGCTCGAGGAGCAGCGGGCCACGCCAAGCCCGCTCTCCGAGGAGGAGCGCCTGCCCCGCGACGAGGGGATCGCGAAGCTCAGGCGTGACACCCGGCGGGAGGTCAACGCGAAGAAGGTGGCAGAGGCCAAGGGACAGGCCAAGAGACAAGCCAAGGCTGCCGCAGGCTCTGCTGTCGCTGGCCACGCGGCAGGTGGCAGGAAGCGCGGGTCTCCCACTGGGCGAAGCGGGCGCTTACAACGTCCTGTTCGGCAGCGTGACCGAGTGGGGGCCGCAGGCGATGGGTTTCGCGAGGAGCCTGCCCTCGGACGCGCGCGGCCAGCTGGCGGCCGAAACGCACATCGCAGATGCAGAGAGGCTGGAGTAGATGAGGCTTCATGTGCAGAACGACGGTTTGAAGCTGACGGCCACCCCAGCCCCCCCGTCCACGACCACGTTCGACGGGCAGCGCACGGAGGCGTGGCGGACTGACGACAGCTCGCTTTTTCCAGTGTTTCTGCCCGACCACGCTGCACCTCAAGTCGGGCAACTTCGTCGTCGCGGCAGCGCACTTCTTCCCAGGCATGGGCTTCACCTCGGGCATTGACGCGTCGAGGCTGATGGCGCTCACGGGCTTCCTGAGGTCCCTCGCGGACCCGTGGCTGGTCTTGGCGGACTGGAACGCGGGCCCCAGGGTGATGGAGCGCTTCGGATGGGCCGAACTGGTCGACGGGGTCATCCTGGAGCCCGAGGGCTGCACAGTCACTTGCCGCAAAGGGAGAGGCAGCCCCATCGACTACGGGGTCGCGTCGGCCAGGGCGGCGCACCGCGTGCGATTGGAGGCATACCTGCAGGTCCCCTGGAGCGCTCACGCCGGGCTCAAGGCCACCGTCCAGGGGGCGGCAACGGCTTGGGAGCACCTTCGTGATGACGCTGCAGGCTTCCCCCAGCCGCGCCAGGCCCAAGAAGGAGGTCCAGGCGACGACCTGAGGAGCGTGCTGCAGCAGGCGACGGCGCACATCGTGGCGCGCACGCAAACAGGAGCGCTGGGGAAGCGCTGGGCCGGGCCCCCCCCTCCAGTCTGGCGGGGATGGAGGGCCCCGCGGCCTGCGATGGGCCCGGCACGGGCGCGGCGGAGGCAGCGGGCGCCGACGCCGACCCGATCTGTGTCTATAGACGGCATGCCCCGCACCATCAATCGCGAACTCCAGTTCAATCTGGCCGGGAGGAGCGGGTCGGGCAACCTGAACGGCAGCGCGACGGCGGCTACGCGGACGCGGCGGCCCCCGTGCGCTGGGGCGGAGGCCCACCTGAGCGAGCTGCTGGCGTGGGCGACCCAGAGGAGGGCCCTTCGGCGAGCTCGACGGGGAACTGGGCGACGTGGACGGAGAGGTCGACCTGGCGGGGGTCGTGGGCCGCGCTGGGTATCGCTCGAGCTCTGGCCCGCTCCTCGGGGGGCTCGAGCACCGACCTGGCCCGCTCCTCGGGGGTCCTACTGCGGTGAGGGCGCGCGCGGAGTACGGCTCGGGCTCTGACCCGATCCTCGGGGGGCTCGAGCATGGGCCCGGCCCGCCCCTCGGGGGCCTTTCGGTGCTAGGCGAGGGCGCCGGCGTCAGATCGCAAGGTCCTGGTGCGCCATTGCGGCTACCAGGCTCTGTCGCCACGGGCGTCGGAACGCACAGTCTGGGCGCGCCCTTGCGGCTACCAGGCTCCACGTCGCCACGGGTGCCGGCTCTGGCCCGCTCCTCGGGGTGCTCGAGCGCGGGCCTGGCCCGCCCCATCGGCCGCCCCACTGCGTTGACGACGCGCTCTGGTCCGCATCTCGGGGGGCAACTGAGCGGACCTGGCCCGCTCCTCGGGGGTCAAGCCGAGCATCGCTCGAGCACTGGCCCGCTTTTCGGCGCGCTCGGGCAGGGAGCTGACCTGCTTCTTCGGGGCCCCATACGGCACTGCATGCGTGCTTTGGCCCGCTTCTCGGGGAGCGCGCGAAGGGGACTTGCCCGCCCTCCCAAGCCGACTGGCCAGGCCGCCGACGCCATGGTCGACGCGGAGATCGGGGTGCCCGCGGGCCCGCCGAGCGCCGCGAGACTTCGCCTGGGGGCTGCCGCTGGCGCGACGCGGGGAGCGCGCCGCTACTGGAGGGGCAACGTGGGCGGGGTCCGATCGCCACGATGGGGCGGCGCGACGGCCGCGGGCGCAGCCGCGCGACCGCCCCATGGGCGACATCCAGCGGGCGATGGAGGAGGCGGAGTGCATGGACGAGGACCACAAGAAGGAGGTCGAGCAGACCACGTCCTTCGTCATCCCCGAGGAGGTTTGGTCCGAGGCCTGGGCGCAGGCCGCGAGCGCGGCGCGGCGCCCGCCCCCTGAGGCCCCCGACGCTCGAGAGGCACTGCAGGCGGATAGCCCGACCTCACCAGGAGGCACGCGCGCTGGGTCACGGCGCTGGAGGAGGCCACCATCAGGCACGAGGGCATCGTGGAAGCCCCAGCTGATGCGAAGAGAGGGCGATGCATGAAACGCCGCGCAGTACGCGGCACGCAAGACCAAGGCTGCGCCAGGGCGACCGCATCTCGCCAACCCCTTGGCGGAGTGGCGGAGCATGCAGTCGGCCACGGCGGCGCGCGTCCAGGCGCCGGCGCGCGGCGGCGCGGACTCGGCCCAAGAGATGCGAGGCCGCGCCGCCATCCTTGCCATGACCCAGGAGGCTGGCCTGGACAGCGTCCAGAGGCTATCCCGCGAGGTCGAGTTCTTTGGCAGGCGCCGCGAGGAGGCCAAGGTCACCTGCTGGAGGCAGCTCCTAGGGCAGCTCGAACACTCGGACGAGGAGGGCATGGAGGCCATCTGCGCTGCAACAGCCCGATGGGCGAGTCGCGCGGCTTGTAGGGCGCAGGCGCAGGCTGGACGGCAGTGTACCAAGTGGGTTGCCACCACGTGGGAGACGGCTCAGGGGCCCGTGCGCAAGCACATCAAAGGGGAAGGGCCAGCCCCCCTGGAGACGGCTCAGCCTGGAGCCACAGTCGCCAGCCCCACGCACCAGAGGAAACTTCGGCAAGACCGACGGGGGGACCACCTGGAGCTCACCTACCTTCGGTGAGGCCAAGCTGCGGGATTGGCGTGTGGGGACGGCCAGCAGAGCCGAGGAGGAGGAGCTGGAGTTGCACGGTAAGCTGAGCACCAGGCAGGCCTTGCGGATCATCTCGGCCAAGAAAGCAACGGGTGTGGACGCCCTCCGCAGCCCTGACATCTCTCGCCTCCCTGACGAGGCCATCCAGGAGCTGACAGACGTGATTAACCAGATCGAGACCGCCCTAGCGTGGCCGAGGCAGGTGCTCACCACCATCCTGGCCCTGCTGCCGAAGTCGCGAGGTGGCGGCCGCACCATAGGCATCCTGTCGCTGCTGATCAAGTGCTGGTCCAAGTCCAGGGCTCGGCCACGGACGCCCGGTCCGACGCCTGGAGCAGCGCTGGGGCCAGGCGATCAGGGGCAGCAGCGAGCTAATTGCCGCCCTGTGCCGCTCCCTCTTGGACGAGAGCACCGCGGCCATGAATTTCTGCGCCACCGAGGCCCTTCTCGATCTGGAGACGCTCCTCGACAGCATCGACCTCATCCTGCTGCTAGAGGTGGCAGAGAAAGAGGCCTTCCCCGCCACGGCCATCTCGCTGGAAGCCCAGGCCCGCCTGGCGCCGCGCCGCCTGCGATGGCATGGGTGGGCGAGTGGGCCCCCTCAGCGCGGAGAGGTCCATAGTGGCGGGCAGCAGCCAGGGGGTGAAGGTTGTCGAGCTGTTCCTCTAGCCGCTGTTGCAGGGCGTCAGCTCAGGAGCGCCGCAGGTGGGCCCCAGCACGCGCGTGGGCGACACGGCGTTCCGCGCGGAGGGGAGCCAGCAGATGACCATCGATAGCGTGGGAGGCGCGCTCAGGATCTTTGCGGAGCAATGCACGCAGGCGGAGCTGATCCCGTCGGGCAAGTCCGCCGTCGCGTCCTCGCGCAATAGAGAGGCCGAGCAGGTGGCGGAGGAGGCGGCCCGAAGGGGCTGACCTTTGAGCTCGGCGGAGAGAGCCGTGTACCGGGGTCGCCACCACTGCTGGACGGAGGAGGGACCAGACGCAGGCCAGGAAGCGGGCCAAGAACGAGGCGAAGAGGGTCGGGGGCACCTTTCGGCTGCGCAGGCGTGCGAGCATGGGCACGCACGCGCAGAAGCTGCACCGCGCGGGTGCCTTGCACGCCCTGATATACGGGCACCAGGTCCTCGGCTTGGCGCCGCACCTCATGTTGCGCCTGCGCAGGCAGGCCAGCAGAGCCATCGCTGGCAGAGGCTTCGGACGATGCCTGACCACAACCCTGGCGCTGCTGATGGGCAGCGGCGACCCTGCGCTGGCGCTGCCAAGTCAGCCGGCGGCGGAGTGGCTGCAGTTCTGGAGGCGGCACTCTGACACAGCCGGGTCATGAGAGCCTAGGCCAACATCGCCAAGGAGCTGCAGTCCTCACCGCCTGCAAGCAGGTGGGCCAAGGTGAAGGGGGCCATCTCGGCGGTCATCTGCACGCTGATGGCGGCAGGATGGGAAGTGCCCACGGCAGTCGAATGGCAGTTTGACGCTGACGAGCTGTGGAGGATGAGCGAAGGACCCGACGAGGTCGATGACACCGAGCTGCTGGAAGAAGTGGCGGCCAGCATCAAGCGCACGTGGTGGCGCAACGTGGCGCCGCAAGACGTGGGGAAGGGGCTCCAGGCGGGCCCTGACCTCCACGGGGCAAAGAGGCAGCTGGCCCGATTGCAGCGGGACGGCGACCACAGCACCTGGGCATTGCAGCTGCAGGTCACGACGAGCGCATCCTGGACGAGGGAGCGGCAGCAAGAGCGAGGCCTGGCGAGGAGCACAGGGCTATGTCCGCGCTGGGGCCAGCTGGAGACGCCCCCGCACAGAGTCTGGAGGTGCCCGCGCAACAAGGAGGACACCACCTCGATGGGCCTCCCAGGGGCCCACAAACGTGGCGACAGTTGCGCAGGTGTAAGCCTTCCAGGGAGTTGCGAGGTCTAACTTGAACACACGTAGGACACCACCTCGATGGGCCTTCTCGAAGCCTTCAAAAGTGGCGACAGTTGCGCAGGTTGCAGCCCGACAGGGAGTCGCGAGGTCTGGCTTGGATGCGCACCATGCCGATGGGCCTCCCAGTAGCCCACGAAAATGGCGACGGTTGCGCAGGTGTAAGCCTCCCAGGGAGCCGCGAGAACCGCTGGGTCTTGTCTGGACGCGCGAAGGGCCTCCCAGGGGTAAACGACAGTGGCGACTTGTTGCGCAGGTGACAGCCCCTGAAGGAGCCGCGAGGTCTACCCTGAATGCGCGTAGGACACTGCTCCGCTGGGCCTCCCAGGAGCCAGCGAAAGTGGCGTCAGGTGCGCAGGTGGCAGCCTCCAAGGAGGCCGCGAGGTGGAGTCTGGACACGCGTAGGCCACCATTCCGCTGGGCCTCCCAGGAGCCCACTGCGCGTACGACACCACCCCGATGGGCCTCCCAGGAGGCCACAGACGTGGCGACATTTGCGCAGGTGGCAGCCCGCCAGGGAGCCGCGAGGTCTTACCTGGGTGCGCGTAGGACACCACTCCGCTGGGCCTCCCAGTAGCCTACGAAAGTTGCGACGCTTGCACAGCCTAGCTGACACGCCCACGTGGAAACGCAACACGTACCGGTTTCAAGTTCTTCGTGTTAACACGATGCGTGTTGGTTGGGCACGTGTTGGTCCACATGTTGGCGAACGTATCGCGCCAGACCTACATGCCCAGTCTACTCGTTGAGATCCGTGTCAACCCGCCATGTGTTGCGTGCAGCTTGTTGGGGCAGGTGGCAGCCCCCAAGGGAGCCGCGAGAGGGGGGGGATGTCCGAGCCACCCGTCGCGGCAGACTACCCTCGCCATGTGTTGAGTCAAAGGTGGGTCCACGCTGGAGGCGAGGCCCACGACTCCAGCAAACGCTCCGCCGCGCGTTCCGCCAGCCCCACATTGAGCAGCGGCAAGGCTGGTGGGAATCGACCTCGTTGCGTCCGCCATTCGGGCCTATACATGACTGAAGTTAGTCAGGACTTAAAGAGGTTGGCCCGACATTGAATGGCGACCAGCCCGCATAGCAGCCACAACATACATGTGTCTGCTTACATCGGGTGGCCTTGTGACCTGAAGATCCAAGACAATTCTCCAGCAGCTTACGTTTCGCTACTTTGCCTTTGGGCAGCTGACAAGAGCCACACAACGTGCACACCGTGGCCGATCAAAGGGCTCCCACGAGGGCGCGAAGTTATTCGCGCCTCGCGCTTCGCGGTCCTCGTTCCTTCTCCCCCTCCTCCTCCTCGTCCTCCATTTCTCCCTTTGGGGGGGGGCGGCGCGAGAGCGCGAAATTATTCGCGCTTCGCGTTTCGAGGAGCGCGAAGCGCAAAGTTGGGAGCCCTTGGGAAGGGGAAGGGGAAGCCTAGCAGCAGCACGAGAATCTACAGGTGTCCCGGTTGGGCTTCGCACTCCCCTGCCCACCGCGTCAGGGACGAAGCGGGCGGCGACGCGCGACGAAAACGAGTGTGGCGGCGTGTTCTCTTTGGTCGTTCTCCTCCTCCTCCTCCTCCTCCTCCTCCTCCTCCTCCTCCGCCTCCTCCTCCTCCTCCGTTTCCTCCTGTTCCGTTTCCTCCTCCTCCTCCTCCTCCTCCTCCTCCTCCTCCTCCTCCTCCTCCTCCTCCTCCCCCTCGCCCAGCTGCCCTGCGACAGTGATGGGAAAGGGCGATGAGAAACAGAATCGGGGAGCAGCTTTCTGCGCACATTCCGCCCTGCCCCTCGACCCCTGATGTCTCGAGCCTGCTCCAAAACCCTGCCCCATCCCTCCGGCCGCTCATCGTCATCAGTTCGAGATGGCATTATCATTGCTACGATTGGCCCATCATTCGTACTGTTCGCGGGCGGCTCTGTGGCCCTGGGGCCCGAAACGGGCCTGCAGAGGGCAGCGGTCGCGAAGTCTGTCCGCCTTTGTCTTTCCGCGGAGCTGGAGGCCCGGGTCCGCACTCCTCCTTTCGGGCGGACGGCAGCGGAGGGGGCCATAAACGTGGGGAGATCGAGGATGGCAGGGCTCACCGAGCGCGCTCCACGTCAGAGAAAAAAATCACGCGTGGCTTCCCCTGGGTGATGGATCGTGAATCCCTGGCGGCGGACCCCAGCCACTTGCGAGCAGTTCCTCTGCGAGCGCTGGCCTCCGGGAGGTGGCCCCACGGGAGCCCTGCACGGCCCCCGAGCCTGCCGCCGCGGGCCCAGAAATGTTGCACGAAGGGTGCACGCCCCGGGCGCTCCTGCGGCGGTCCCCGACGCGTGAGCGCGCTCCCCCTTCTTCCCCGCCTCCTCCTCCTCCTCCTCCTCCTCCTCCTCCTCCTCCTCCTCCTCCTCCTCCTCCTCCTCCTCCTCCTCCTCCTCCTCCTCCTCCTCCTCCTCCTCCTCCTCCTCCTCCTCCTCCTCCTCCTCCTCCTCCTCCTCCTCCTCCTCCTCCTCCTCCTCCTCCTCCTCCTCCTCCTCCTCCTCCTCCTCCTCCCCCTCCTCCCCCTCCCCCTCCTCGGGCTTCTGTGAAGGCCAGAGGAGCCCTGCCCCCCCCCCCTCGCGACTTCCCCCCCCTCGGCGCGCCGACGCAGCGTGCCTCTCCGTGCGTGGGACCGCGTGGGCCGCGGCCTCGGCTTTTCCTAGTTCTTTCCCCTCCCGAGGCCGCCTCGTTCTGTCCCCTCCCCCTTCGTGCTGGACGAAAGGGGGGGATTGGGAAAGGGGGGGTACGAAATTTGCTGCCTGCAGCTGGTTTCGGCCCCGCCGAGGGGCCCATTCCTCGATACATAGTCGCCTCTGGCGCCGGGAGGCGCCGGGAAAATCAGCTACGTAGCTGACTCTCAAACCCCCCCTTTGCTATCCACCCCTTTCGCCCGACCCGACCCCGGCACCCGGGCGAGTCAGCAGCGCCGCCTCCCGGCCTGCCGAGCGCGCGCGCGGGCCGCTCCTCGGCCGCGCTGCGACGGCAGAGGTGCCCAGACCCCGACGGCCTTCACTGCGTCCTGGCGTGGGCCCCCCAGAGGTCTCTCGACCCATTCCCTGGGACAGAGGACAGAGTTCCGTCATGGTTTTCTCATGGCCCGAAGAGGTATGGGAGCTGCCTCTCCGCCGGTCCTGTTGCGGGGGGGCGGGGGCGGCCGAGGGCGGCGCCGAGCCGTGCCGCGGGCTCGGGGGGCGCGGGAGGCCTGGGCCCCTCCCGAGGCACCCGGGCGAATCAGCAACGCCGTCTCCCGGCCTGCCGAGCGCGCGCGTGGACTGCTTCGGCCGCGCTGCGACGGCAATGGTACCCAGACCCCCGACGTCGTCACTGCTTCCTGGCGTGGGCCCCCAGAGGTCTCGACCCATCCCCTGGGACAGAGTTCCGTCATGGTTTTCTCATGGCCCGAAGAGGTACAGTCGGGGCGCTGAAGAAGGAACCCTCTTCGTTGGGGAGGGGCTCGGTGTTCCTTGATTGTTTCAAAGTTTGCCTCGGGTTTTCCTGAGGTTTCCCATGGGAAATCGAGGTTGAGCTTACGGGAAAAAAGGGCCTCGTTCCTTATTTAGGGTTCCTTAGGTCAACGCCTCGACTGTATGGGCATTGCCCCCCCCTCCCCCCCATGGACGAACACCGGAGTTTTTCTTCCTAGAGGGGGGGCTCGTCGCTGGCCCACCGTGCGGCTGGCTCAAGGCCTTTCGGCGGCACCGTCGGGCCTCTCCCTCCTCTCCCTCCCTTTGTGGAGGACGTGGAGAGGACGGACACGGTCACGACGACGACCACCACGACGACCGCGACCACGACCACGACACGACGACGACGACGACGACGACGACGACGTCGTCGTGTCGTCGTCGTCGTCGTCGTCGTCGTCGTCGTCGTCGTGGCGGACCTCTCCTCGGGACCACCCCGCGGCACGGCAGGACACTCCAGCGCCCACTGCAGGAGAGCCCCCCGCGCCGGCGGCCTCTGCGTCGGAAGACGGCGCCCGCGCGCGCCCGCCCGCACCGGGGGGGCGGCGGGGGGGCCCGGAGCACACGGCTTGCCTTATGTCGGGCGTGTCCCCCTACAGGGGGATCTTCGACGAAAAATAAAAAATGCCCAAAGAATACACCAAAAAGGCCAAAAAATATTCAAAAAGTAGTCCCCTGACTGTTGGAATATTTTCTAGGGTATTTTCAATTTTTAGTCGAAAATCCCCCTGTAGAGGGACAGGCCCGACTTAAAGCTTGCCCGCGTCCGCTCTCGCCGGGGCGTGGCCAAAGCTTGCCGCGGCCCACCGGTGCGAAGAAGAACTCAGTTGCCCGGATACGCCCGTTGTTCGGAGGTGGATGAACCTCCTCACATGACACGTCGATTAGCGAATTGGCCGTTTTCGGTTCGCGAGAGGGCGTCGCGGCCGCTATTGTTGCGGGTCCAGGTCCGTCGGTTTCGGTCCCAGGCCGTTTTCACTAAGGGGAGGTTTACTAAAGGGAGGTTTGTCCACCGCCGAGTTGTGAAACGTGTGAAGCGTGCCAGGCTTCGAGCGTCCGGGTCTCAACACGCTGCGTGTTGGCTCGGCATGGGTTCGCCCACGTCTTGGCGAGTGTATCGCGCCAGACCTACGTGTTCAGTCTGCGTGTTGAGCTCCGTGCCAATACGCTACGTTTAAGTCGGGCCCGTCCCTCTGCAGGAGAAATTCAAAAATAGTCAAAACAAATTAGTCAGGGGATTATGTTTGAAGTATTTTTCGACCAGTTTGGAGCATTTGTTGGGTATGTTTGATTCTTCGTCGAAAACCCCCCTGTAGGGAGAGACGCCCGACTTGACGCTCCGTGCTGCGTGCTGCGTATCGGGGCATCTAAGAACCGCCCGGATTTCCTGGATCTGCGCCAGAAACCCCCCGGCGCGCTCCGCACGCCAGGGAGGGACTCAGACCCCAGAAGCCCGCGCGGACCTCCAAGAGCTCATGCTTGCGCAGTGTGGTGCTCCTCTTGGAGGACCAGGTGGCGTCCCAGAGGCCCAGATGGCCTCCAGAGCACCCGCCGCGAGGCCCACAGGGCCAGGTGGGCCCGAAATGTGGGGACACCCTGGACCAGGACCGCTTCCAGCAGCACCCGGCTCGTGCCCCCGACGTCGGGGCGCCGCGAAGAATAGCAACGGCCGTGTGCCCTCGATTCTGGACTCCGGCGCTCATTGCTTCCCTCGTCGGAGTCCACACATCGTGCTTGTTACGATTCTTGGCGCTGCGCGAGCTGCCCTCATCCCGCCTGAGTGGTCTGACGCCTCTGCGCGTAACACAGAATTCCCTGGCATTTTGCTCAGGGCTGCACGTTGCTCGAGCTTCCCTGGGCGTTCCAGTTCAGCCTGCCAGCCCCCCGCCGCCGCTGCCCCAGCTGCCGCCTTAGTGAGCTGGCCCCGTGCGTTCTTGCTGCGCCCAGTAGCTAATTAGGTTTGCCCGTCGGCCCGGACACCCTGTTCGCCGCCTGAGTTCTTCGCTCGCGGCCGCGACCAAAAAAAAAGAGTTGCCCTCATCAGGCAAGTGTTGAAAGATGCAGTGGCTCAAAGAGGTGGGCAGCTTCATCCTCCGACGTACGAGGAGGAGGGGGACCTGAACCGATCACACAATTTCACCCGCACCGCTTGACAGTTCCCACCAAACCATCATCAACCCCACCCAACCCGACCCAAGTACCGCAGACAGCCCCACACCCCTCTGCACGGAACTCGTGCACAACAAGCCCCGCACCCGAAATTGTATCTGAACCGACAGCAACCCCAACCACGAATATCACGAGACAATGCAAATGCTCTTTGCCGAAGACCGACAGACAGAACAATAATAATGTGCAGGGCAAGACATGATGCGACGGCGATGCAGCGGCCACGTACAACCCATGCTTACCACCATGACGCGTCCTACCCCACATCGACTTCCACCACAACCGACGCCACCCAGCACCACCACCACGTACAATACGAAACGCACGCCAGCCAAAGTTGCCACCCATTGCAAGTCTACCAGAACCAGAGCCCACCACCGCAATTGAAATATCTGTGCACCCATGGAGTAGCTACGACAGCAACGCCAGGCGGAAGAGACAACCGACCTTCACGCCACGCCGACCCAATATACACCATGATCTACATTGCCTGCCTGCGTGGAATGCTTTTACAAGCGACGACACGACAAGCACCACCACATTTTTATACAATGAGAGGAGAAACCATTGACGCCTTCATCTCCAGACGACCACTCACTACCTGGTTGATAACGGGCACAGGTACTCGACAAGTACAACAACGAGTTCATCACCAGTGACCTACTGCCGTACACGCTATCACACCCACCACTCCGACCTCAGCAGTACATAACCCCAAGGACAAAATATTAAAATATAGCCAACAGCCTGCAAACCGAGCAAACCACAGAGGCACTACAAGCAAACCAACTCCCACCACCACCAGGACTACAACGCGGCCCCAAGGGCCAACCCACAGCCGGCATAAGCACAGAGCCATTATAGGTGCTATGCGACACCGACGAGAACTTCCGACTACAATCAGCAGCCACAAGCCAGGACATCCACGAAAGGATCGACCAATTTAATGATACAGCCCCGCACCAGCATTGGACGGAGACGTACACACAGATATTACAGTGGATATTCATTCTTCGGGTAGGTAAGTGGACGACCTGCCCCGAGCGGCAGCGCAACTGGACAAAATGATTTGACCCCAAGACACACAGACCTCAGACCAAGACGCAGGCAACAGCACACTCACGAGCAGCATTGACAGCTACACCAGCCACCCGATGAACCCCGCCAAGAACCCAACGGCCACGGAAGGCCAAGACCAACGCACGACAGCACCACGGCAGACAAACGAGGAGAACGACAAGCGACCAGAGCCATTAGAGCAACCAGAAGCGACGGATTCGGATGGCTAGCCGACACATCTCTAAGCCAACGTACAGCACAGACACAAACGACCATTAGAGCATACCTCCCACCGAAAGCAGCTCATCCCGTCGAAGACGGCCAAACGGGCTTAACACCCATCGAACCAACCAGCGAACCAAGCTACAATCCAAACCCTTGCGACGAGCAGTCACTGTGCGAATACTTCAAGACTGCACACGACCACCAATAGGAGTATTCTCGCTACCTAGCAGCAGTACGAGCCCAAAGGGACCTACAGCAGATACCAAGAACAGCTCCACCGACCACCCACCCGAAATACCCTAATGCACCACAAAGGCTGAGTAACAATACCGAGCAACAACTTGACGATACGACTTAACCACGACCTCCACGGCCAGTACGACAAAGCCCCATACCCTGCATGGGGGCCCCTAGGGGCATGCCTGCAGGAGGGGCATACTTGGCTGGGTTGTTCCCATTATTTGAGTACTGAGCGGCTGCTTTAGTTACTACACCAGGCTGCAACTACAGTCCGTGGATTGAGTTCTTGGTGCCCATCACTATGCTTATTTTTACGGGGACGGGTGGCCTGGGTTTGGGAGGTGTTGAGAGTGGAGGTGGATGCTATTCATACTCAGACCTCTGGGACTCGCATCCAACAGCTGCTATTATAGTTGGCTTCATGTATATGCTCTCACTGCTTGTCCCTTCCGATGCTCTGCTCACCCTGCTGATTCCGGCGGCACTGTAAACGTACAGGCCGACCAGCCACATCCGCAGGCCGCCGCTGCTAAGGGGTTCCACGTTACCAGCCGCGCTTGGAGGTTGCATGTGACCGGGCGCTCTTAGGCGTTGGGCGAAGCCGATTGCAAGACGCGTGCTTAAATTCGCCCACGCGGTGCCAAGCGGGGTAGGTGAGTCGCTGATCAGTTTTGGGGGGGTAGGGTAGTCACCACTCGCCCTCTCAGCACACATTAACCCACGGTTATCTGAGCATGGGCCCTCCTCCATGAGAGGACCCGATCGCCGCAAGTGCTCTACCATCCGCGCATGTGTGGCTGGCCTCACACAGCCCTTGGTCGGGGGATTGGGCCAGAGGGAGGAGTGAATTGGTGGGGGAGCTCTCACGTTGCCCAATTTCCTGACCCAGCACTGCTAGCGTGCACTGTGCCATGCCACGCACGGGTCCTTCCGAGCTTGGGAACGTCTCTGGCTCGCAGCTGGCAGCTGAGTTTACAATTAACCGCGGCTAGCCACGGCACGAACAGTTCCACCACCACCCACGGGTCTCTGCGCATGGGCCCCCGTCACATGAGGACCCCGTGCCACCCGAGGTTGTGCGAACTGTAGGCTTCACATCCGTGGGTTTGGTAGGGGATGTGGTTGGGATGTTGGTATGGGGAGGGGCCGGGACCCACTCAGGCCAGACACGCATTCCGCATTTAGGGACCACATGATCGCGGGGTTCAGGTCCAGGACTCAGCACCTGGTTTAAGCCACTCACATGTGCCGCTGCTGCACACTTTTTTGGTCTGCGGGTCGAGAGCGAGCCTCTTCCGGTTAAGAGCTAGGCGGGCCGCGCAAAGCACTAATTGGGGAGACAGGGCGCGGGCGGGCGGGGCCTCAGGCGGCCGGAGGGCGCAAGCCGCTGCTGCACACACGCTTGCCTCATAGCCATTCCCTTTTCTGCGCTTGCCTCCGCGATGACATCAGCCCGACCTCTACTTCTGGCATTGCACTTCAACCCATCACTCAAGACAGCAATGTCTGCAAGAACATGTGCCATGCACACCTCCTTCTCACAGCCTTGCTCGAGGGCGACCGCGGTGCTCCCAGAAGCTAGAGCGCAGTGCAACACCCACCTCATGTTGTTGTCTTTCCTTTTATCCTTGCCGAGAGAAGACAACGGTCAGCAGCATTCTCGATAATGGTGGAGGCGGTCCTGGTGTCTTGGGACTGGGGGCTGCAGATGGCTTCCAAGCACTTTCAGGGCTGTCACAGAGGCCACGTCAGAGTGCATCGCCCGTCGTACTCGTACATGTAGTTCAGGGCGTTTCGCCCGTTACATGGTACGCCAGCAACCCCGCCATCCGTTGTTTGTTAATATGTTGTTGTCTATACTGCTCCCATAGGCTTTCATCCTGCGCGGATTCTGCATGCCAGCCACAAAGTACCGAAGCCCAGTCCTGCACCACCCCAGTTACTTTGCCCTCGCGCACAGACTGTTCTCATACAAGCGGGTGGGGTCGGGAAACCGCCGCCGAACAGCAGGCCGGCCAGCACACACGGTGCCAGCCTACCACAGGTGGCTCAGACAGCAGTGCCTTACACTCGGCTTGCTTACCAGATCTATCCAACCCGGCCCAGTCCTGTACGATGATACGGTGGCCGCGTTGGCCCTCGGCGGGGAGGTCGCCAAGGCCCCCTACTGCGGACTTCCGAGTCGCACCAGCCGCTACAGTATTGATTCCCAGACCTCGTACGCTTGCCTTTTTCCCTTGCCATCTTCCAGTACGCAGTCAACGGCAGGGGTGGGGTGTGGCGACGGGGAAAACGATGAAGTTCTGCCATTGCAGCCTGAGCGTATACGCACGCCCTGTTAATTTCAACGTCAGCCCAAGCAGTTCCAAACTCCAGCACAGCCTCATGACAGAACGAGCTTTATTCCAGCTTGCACTAGGGTCAAGGCGGGCCTGTCCCTCTACAGGGGGGATACTCAAAACTAGTCAACAAATCGTCTGGGGACGATTTTCTTCGCATGTCCGCCCTGCACTGCACGGAACCAGATGATACGAATCTGGGCATTCGCATTACGATTGTGGTTCTTGAATCATGCGGTCCGCTCCCATCTTCTCCCTCCAACAAAAAAAAATACTATTGATTATTTCTCGTCCAAAATCTTTTGGGCATGTGGGGGGCATGTTTTGAGTATTTTTATTTGTCGTCCAACAACCCCCTGAAGGAGGACAGACCCGACGTAAGACTAGGGCTCCACGGGCCAGCCAGTGCAGACTGAGCCAGCCGGCCTCCTAGCCTGCAGCACCAGGTCTGCTGTTCCCAACCCTCCTGTACTGGCTTCGCGTTGCGACTGGAGACCTGTGGCATCCACCCCTTCTCTCCTCCCCCCTCCTGCCTCCTGCCTCCTACTTCCTGCCTCCTGTCTCCTCCTCACTCCCTTCCTCGTCCCTGCTCTCCTTCGTCCTGCTTGCGTTGTAGCCCCGTTGTGACTCTGCCTCTCTATCCCCTAGGGGGGCTGCGAAGTGTGAAGCTGTCGACACTTTGATGGGCTCCTGGCAGGCCCAGAGGAGTGGAGTTGTAAACAGACCCAGCCGAGACCTCGCGGCAGGGACCCGCGAAGTGCGCAGTAGTCGCCAATTGTTAGGCTCCTGGGATGCCCAGCGGAGTGGAGTTGTAAGCAGACCCAGCCGAGAGCTCGCGGCACACTGGAGGGCTGCGAAGTGTGCAACTATCGCCGATAATTTCGTGGACTCTGGAGGTCCAGCGGAGTGGAGTTGTAAACAGACCCAGCCGAGACCGCGCGGCACCCTGGAGGGCTGCGAGGCACTCCGGCTCGCGCCTTCTGAGAGGTTGTCTGCGTCTGCGGGGAAGGCTTGGTGAACTCCTCAGAAGGCCGGACTTCCGAGCCTCCTGAGAAGGCCCGCCCCTCCTCGCTTTCCCCCCTCGATCGCCGCCGAGTCTGGAGTTTCTCCGTACGAGTCGGCACCGTCGAATTGGATACGGAGATGAGGAGGTAAAGGCTGACAGCATCGGCGACTTGGGTCCGTCACGTGATGCGAATCTGGGGAGGAGAAGGAGGAGGAGGAGGAGGAGGCGGAGGAGGAGGAGAAAGGGGAGGAGGAGGCGGAGGAGGAAGAGGAGGAGGAGGAGGAAGAGGAGCAGTTGGGGGGAGGGGACTTCGCATCACGTGACGAAATCCCTCTGCCTACAGCAGCCCCTGCCCACCTCCGAGCAGGATCTGCCGTGTGTGCCGCCGCGGGCCTTGTCCGTTCGAGAGGCAGGGCCGCCTGCACAGCAGCGGTCGCTGTCGGTTCTGAAGAATGTCTGCCGTTGGGTACAGTCGGGGCCCTGAAGAAGGAACCCTTTTGGTTGGGGAGGGGCTCCGCGTTCCTTAAGTGTTTCACAGCTTGCCTCAGGTTCTCCTTATGTTTTCGATCGGAAATCGAAGTTTCACTTATGAAAAAATTTGCCTCGTTCCTTATTTAGGGTTCCTTAGGTCAACGCCCCGACTGTATCTTACCCATCTTTTCCGTACCCGTTTCGGGCGTCCAAGACGAGGTCTCCAGAGGTCCGGATTTGCTTCCCCGGGGCTGGCTCTTCCCCAGGGTCGTTTCCTGATCTGTCTGGGGCCCAGCGAGGGCCCCCGTGAGGCCCGAGACGGGGAACCAAAGACGTGCATCGAGTTTCCCGAGACGGTGGACTTGGCATCGCTCGGACGTGTGCATGTTTCCTCCGGCGAGGACCATCGAGGAGCATCCTTGATCATTTGGCGAAAAACCACGCACGAAACCGACAAAAAAAACGGGGAATGGACGTCCGAGCGATGGCGAGTGGAGGTCCGGGCCCTGCCGGGGCCCTGTCGCCCCAGTTCCTCCCGCACCGCCGGCCCCAGGTGCCGACGACGGCGAGTACCAGTTCGTCGGCTGGGAGACGCCCTCCGGGGCGCGAGACGCCTGCCAGAAGGTGCGGGGGGGCCGGGAGCCTCCAGGAGGAGGAGGAGGAGGAGGAGGAGGAGGAAAAAGAAGAAGGAAGAGGAGCAAAAAGAAAAGGAAAACAAGGAGGAGGAGGAAGAAAGGAGGAGCCTTCGGGAGGAGGAGGAGTAGGAAGAGGAGGAGGAAAAAGAAACGAAAAGGGAGCAGGAGGAGGGGGAGGGCGAGGAGGAGGAGTAGGAGGAGGAAGAGGAGAAAGGTGAGGAGGAGGAGGAGGACCGTTGGCTGGTTAAGCTGGGGCTAGTCGAGCTGCTATAAATTGTCCTCGCGTTCGTGGGGATGTTCAGTAGGTGGCCCGTGGTGTGGCACAGACCTGGCCGCCACTTGAGGAAGGAAGACGTTGATAAGGAGGAGGAGGAGGAAGAGGAGGAAGAGGAGAAGGAAGATGAAGAGGAAGAGGAGGAGGAGGAACGGATTACAAGGATGTTGGCGATAACGAGAGGCGAGAGGAGGAGAGGCAGTACGATCAGGGGAAGGGCAAGGAGGAACAGGAGAAGAGCGTGAAAGGCGAAAAAAGAAATTATGAGCATGACGAACAGGAGTGGAGAGAGGGGGGAACTATGATATGTGATTTTGAAAAAGGAAGCGGGAACGAATGAGGAAGAGGCAGAGGATACAACGAAAAGAGCATGAAGACAATAATGAAAATGGGAGGAGGAGGAAGATCATGAGGAGACGCAGGAGGAGGAGAAGGTAGCGGTCGAGAAAAGAGGAGGGAGAGGAAGAGGAAGAGGGCGAAGACGAGTTTGCACAGACTGGACGCGCTGTCCGTGATTCTGGGCACGCGGGCCCAGGCAACACAGTGAACCAAATTCTGGAAGGGGAGGGGAAGGGGGAGGGGGAGGGGGAGGGGGAGGGGGAGGGGGAGGAGGGGAGGAGGAGGAGGAGGAGGAGGAGGAGGGGAGGAGGAGGAGGAGGAGGAGAGGAGGAGGAGGAGGAGGAGGAGGAGGAGGAGGAGGAGGAGAGAGAGGAGGAGGAGGAGGAGGAGGAGGAGGAGGAGGAGGGGGAAGAGGAGGAGGAGGAGGAAGAGGAGGAGGAGGAGGAGGAGGAGGCAAAGGAGGAGGGCACATGCCGAGAACACTGGGCGCTCGCGCCCGGCTTCCCGCTGTACCGCGCAGAGCTCCGACGTTTTTTTGTTGGCTGTGCGCCCAGACGCTTTCCCTCGATGTCGGCCTCTGCTGCGGCCCTCTTTATTATTCGGGGCTCGGGACCACCGAACATGCGTCAGTGATGCGAAACTGCCCTCGGGAAGGGGTCGGGGGCCCTGGGGCCGCGGATCGCAAGACTCATGCGGCCGGATCGAGGTACGAGGTCGAGATCGGTTCGGGGAGGGTGCCCTCATGTTTTTCGTGCCTGTTGGATGTTCATGTGAAGTACACATTGTCCTGAGTAGACCCCCGACGCGCGCAGCTTCTCATGCGAGGCCATGGCCGCACCCGCCTCGCCCTTAGGGGGCCCGGGCGCATGCCCGCACAGGCGATCCGTACCCGCATCCGTAATGCACCCTGCGGAGGGGGGAGGGTGCCCTCGAATGCTCTTCACGTTGACCGGCGGAGGGCCTCGCGTTCTTGAGGAGTGTGATTCCCGGTTGCACGCAAGAGCGACCCTTCGCCGGAGTGACCCTTGGTGCGGGCTCCTCGGGGCCCCCCCGATCGTTGAGCGCGGTGCGACAGCAGCGGCCTGCGCGCCTGGGTCTGGCCCCCTCGCGCCCCCCCAGAGGCCGCGCACCAGAGGTCACTCTTGCCCAGGGTCACCCCTTGCGCGTAGCCGATGTTCTGCCTCAGGTCCGTGTCGCTCTGCTAGCCGCTAGAGCCCCTGAGAGCACGCACGCGCCTCGCGAGAGACGGAGGCATCAGCCCCTCCGTGCGACGGGATTCTTGTCGAGTGACCCCAGAGAAGGGGCATCATTTTGTTCCAAGACGTCAGCCACCACGAGGCTTACGCAGCATCCCAGATGTCGACGTAGAAAAGTCTGACAGTGCCGGAGGACGCGTTGGGGAGCGCGTGCCGTCGGCCCGCCCACCCCGCACCCCCAAGCGCTTCCTCGCCGCGCCAGCCCCCCGCACCCGAGAGGCCGCCCGCGCTCCCCCGACCCCATCGATGCCTCGGCGTGCTCGGGCCTCCCTCCCTCTGTTCAAGGAGTGGCGAAGCGTCCTGGCTCGCCTATAGCCCTACCGAACAGTGTTCTAAGAACCTTTTTGTGGTTTCCAGGAAATGTTACATTTATGGTTGGGACTGTCTCGTTTTAACACATGGGGCTTACGTTCCAAGAACATTGTTTTTGTTCTTAGAACATTTTTGGGTTCTAAGGAAAATTCGTGGTATGGCTATAGGAATGCCGGGACGGTCGGTCCCTGTTCAACCGTCTGTGGCCGCCCTCTGCTTTTTCCCGGCCCGCCTGCTTAGCTTTGAGTCGGGCCTGCCCCTCTACAGGAGGAATTTTCAGAAATAGTCAAAAAATAGTCTGGGGACAATGTTTTGACAATTTCGTAGCATTCTAGGAGGATTTTCTGGGAGTATTTTCCATTTTTCGACCAAAATCCCCCTGTAGGGGGACAGGCCTGACCTAAGCTTAGCTGCCCGCATCCAGGATGCGCCCCACTGGTGCCGACCCCCGCGCCTGCGTTCGCCGGCGCTGCTGCTGAAAAAGTTGGGGGACGTATTCCAGCAGTGGCGACGCGTCCTGGCTGGCCTATAGGCTCACTACGGGATGTTCTGAGAAACTTGTGTGGTCTGCACGACATGTTCTTATAACATGTTTGGTTGAGGCCATCTTGTTTTAATACAGTGAAGATCCATAGTCAGGACGGGTAAGTTTCCCAAGGGCACCCTTGCGTCCTTAGATTTGTTCGGCAGTACGCCGCTAGAAAAGCTTCAACTGGGGCGTCCAAGGACCCTCCTCCTCCTCCTCCTTCTCCTCCTCCTCCCTCCCTCCTTCTGGTGCCACAGGTGGGAGGCTCTCGATCACACGAGTCGCTTGGGCAGCCTCGGAGGTATTACTGCTGAGCCTCGAGAGGCCTGAGCTAAGTCTGCTGCTCGAGCTACGTATGATTGAACAACTATTCCGATTTTGCAACCAGATACAGAGCTTTTGATGCCGAGTCGATTTGGCAGCGAGAGGTATGATGGTGGGAGTGGGAGCGGACGGGCCCCGCTGACTCGCTCGGGCTGGCCACGTGGCCTGGCGCTCACTCCTGCGGTACCACTTGGACGGCGGGATAGGGGTCTTGACCGGGTGGTTCTACCCTCCCCGCCAGATGCCATGCAGCATCGGGGTACAGTGAAGACCCATGCGAAGAAACACCCTGCTTGCCTCCAGGGCGCCCTGGGTTTCTTGGGCTTCGGTAGCTTTGCTGTGGACGGCGTGACGTTCCCACACCAAAAACCCAATGCACGCCCTGGGGTCTCCGGGTTGTATTTCTTGTGGAGGGCTTCTTGTGGACTGGCCTCCACCGTCTACACCTCCAACTACTTTCTCGGCCTCCGGCCGAGGGCGTCTACGGCACAGGCACCGTGTCGTCATCAACAACAACTGGCCTCCACTGCACACCATGCGTGGCCGGACTGGGGCGGGGCGCATGTCGCGCGCCAGGGGAGAGCAATGCCGCTCTCGCGTCGGCGCCGCGCCCCGTGATCTGAGGCATCGAGCTCCCGCTCAGGCGCGGCGCAGGGGCTCCCAGGGGTGCTCCCAGGGGCGTTCCCCAAGGCGCTTCCCAGCGCGCTCCCGGGGTGCTCCCAGGGCGCTCGTTCAGGGCGCTTCCCAGGGCGCTTCCCAGGGCGCTCCCAGAGAGCTCCCAGAGAGCTCCTAGGGTGCTGGCCGTTCGCCCGCCAGTTCGTCGACGCACGAGCGGGCGAAACTGTCGCCCTGTCGCTCTGGCGCCGCGCAGATTTCGCCTGCGCGCGGCGCTTCCGCAGCGCAGCGCACGCGCTTCGCTCGCCAGGGTCGCTGGGGGGCCGGCCCCCGCGCGAGCGGGGGCGCAGCGCAGGTTTCGCTCGCCGAGCCCAGAGATCCTGGCGCCTCCTCTTTGTTCGAGCCCCAGGCGTTGTCTTTTTTTCTGCTTGGGGCGCCGGGGCCCTCATAGATCGATCTGGCTCGAAAGCTGGCGAGATGGGGTCTAGGGTTCCGGGTGTGATTTGGCACGACGCTGCCGTTTTTGCTGCTGCGTCGGATTGCAGGGAGCCGCTCAAAGGCAGCAGCGGCAGCGGGGCTGCGCAAGAGTGGGCGGCATGCTGTCCTCGCCCAGGAGCCGCGCAGCTAGTGCGTGAACGCGGCAGGGCTGTACAGGCGCGGCGCATGGCTCGTCTTCGCGGCGATCACCGGGCACGTGGCCTCCCGAGAGGAGGCTGGATGGTGCTCTCTCGCCACAGCCCCGCGCAAGGATTCTCCGAGATCCCGTCTCCGCCAGGGCGCGGCCCGCTGTTGTTTACATTATTTGCATTAATCGTGTGCTTCCTTTTTTTTGTTGGGCATCCCATATTCACTCCTTTCCTCTTCGTCTTCCTCCTCCCCCTTCTCCTTCTCCTCCTTCTCCTCCTCCTCCTCCTCCTCCTCTTCCTCCTCCTTCTCCTCCTCCTCCTCCTCCTCCTCCTCCTCCTCCTCCTCCTCCTCCTCCTCCTCCTCCTCTCGGAGGCGGGACCGGGCGCGAGCGCAATCCTTTGGATTGGTGGGGCCGCGCTCCAGTTCCAAGATCAAGCTGCGCCACCATCGGCTCGTGTGTTGCGGGAGGGTGAGAAGGGGGGGGGGGAATGGGCGGGGCCCGCTGGCTCACTCGACCTAGCTTTTTAAGTCGGGCCTGTCCCTCTACAGGGGGGGAATTCTAAAATAGTACAAAAATAGTCTAGGGAGTATTTTTTGTATTTTTCGACCATTTTGGAGTCTGTGTTGGGTAAGTTGCATTTTTCGTCGAAAATCCCCCTGTAGGGGGACACGCCCGATTTAAACCTAGCTCAGCTCCTGCTCCTGTTCCCTCCTCCTCGCCCCGCGCGCGCTCTCGCGCGCGGGGCGAGGAGGCGGAGCGGAGCAGAGGAGGCCCAGAGGCCTCGGGGCGCCCAGGGGAGCCTCGGAAGGCTTGGGGAAGCCTCGGGCAGCCCGGGGGGGGGGGGGGGGCTCGTGTGGCCCTGGGGGAGCCTGGGGGAGGCCCGGGGAAGCCCGCGGAGGCCCGTGGAAGCCGGAGGAAGCCGCGGCGGAGGGGCCGCGGTCACCCCAAAGTTCGACCGGCTGCCGTGGCGACTCTCACTCTGTCGGCGCCGCAGTGGCAGCAGCAGCGGCGGCGCCTGCCCTCTGCGCGCGGGGCCGCGCGGCCTCCCCAGAGAGAAGGTCGGGCGGCTCGCCATGCCGAAGACGGACCAGGAGAAGAAGGGCGTGCTGCAGGCCGAGCGCGGCGGGGAGGCAGGAGGCAAAAGACACTGGAAGGGGGGGGGGAAGGATGAGAAGCGGGGCGCAGAAGCGCGGGTGGGGAGAGGGGAGGTTCCACCCCCACGTTGTGTTCACGATCTCGGCGCGTCCAGGGTCCAGCTTCGGGCCCCAGGGCCATCGGCAAACCACCCGCGACGAAGTATTGGTCCGAGGGTTGGGGTCCAGAGGCCGGGAGAGAGTGTGCGGCACGCTTGGAGGCAGTTGTCGATTGGCTATAGGCTCTTGGTGGCGAGCTGCTTGACAGCAGGCTGTCGGACGCCATGTCCCCTGAGGTCCACCCCCAGACTTCTCCTTGGGCGCGTCCTGGCCAGCATGCCAACGCGACCCCCGCCGCGGCCACAAGGGACCCCGGGAGGCCCAATACGCCTGGCCACGCCTGCTCAGAGAGTCGGGCTTGAGCCCCTGTGGGGTGTTCCAGAAATCGGCGTCACCCCAACATACTTATACGGTATGTGCGTCGCCCCCCCAGGGGCGACGCGCGCACCGAGAAACTTTATGGTATATGTGTCGTGGCGGGCGCTTTCTGGCCGCACCGCTCGGGAAACGCTATACCGCAAGACGGGTCTACGATTAAGTCGGGCCTGTCCCTCTATAGGGGGAATATTCAAAAATAGTCCAAAAATAGTCTGGGGACTGCTTTTTGATTATCGTTTGACCTTGTTGGGGTATGTTTGGGGTTTTTGTTTTTTCATTTGTCGTGGAACATCCCCCTGTAGTAGGGGACACGCCCGACATGGGTCTACTATAGGTTCGGGTCGGACGCGCGCCTCCAGGGAGGTCATCTAGCACTGGCGTGTCCCTGTGCGTCCCAAGACAGGGCCGCGGCCTCGAGGGTCGAGGGAGCTGCCGCCTCCTGCTCGGCGGAAGGTCGGCGGCTGCGGGCGGGGAGCAGGGTCGGGGGAGGCTCCGCCTGCGGGAGGCTGGCGGAGGGCTGGGGGATGCCAGCGGAAGCACAAGACGCGCCCCCTCCTCCTCCTCCTCCTCCTCCTCCTCCTCCTCCTCCTCCTCCTCCTCCCTCCCCTCCTCCTTCCTCTCCTCTCCTCCTCCTCTCCTCCTCCTCTCCTCCTCCCTCCCCTCCTCTCCTGTCCTCCTCCTCCTGCTCCTCCTGCTCCTGCTCCTCCTCTGCTCCTCCTCCTCCTCCTTCTCCTCCTCCTCCTCCTCCTCTCCTCCTCCTCCTCCTACTCCTCCTCCTGCTCCTCCTCCTCCTCCTCCTCCTCCTCCTGCTCTTCCTCCTGCTCCTCCTCCTCTTCCCCAGTAAATTGCCAGAGATGGCAACATTTCTGGGTGCAGAGTTTCCGGAATCGGCCGCGTCCTGGAAGCAGGCCCAGGGTTCCCAGGCAATTCGCGATTCCCTTGCTGGGGTGCAGCCGTACGAGCAGCGCATGGCTGCCTTGCTCGATCAAGCTCGCGAGCGCGAGAGGGCCCTGGCGGGCGGGCAGTGTATAACCGTCCTCCTTTGCACCCAATTTGCCAGTATGGTCCTTCGACTTCGGAGCTTCCGAAGCGGCGCCGTGTCTTGTCGTATCTTGCTGCACGCTGCCTCGGAATTGTCCAGCTACCTCCGGCAACCTCCGCCACCGCGCGCCTGCATCAGCGCAGCAAGAATTAGCCTGAGTGCAAGAGCGGCGCAATTCCGACGACTGGTGTGAATTTAGGCGGGTCGTGAACTCGACCTCGTGTTTCGTGTGCGCGGTACGGGGAGGGAGTTCACGCCCCGCTGCAGTTCAGTGTGCGGTCCAAACTGAGGGGGGTCGTGAAGTCGACCTCGTCTTCGTCCGCACGGTAGGCAGGAGAAGGAAGAGAAGGAGGAGTAGGAGTAGGAGGAGTAGGAGGAGGAGGAGGAGGAGAAACTCAACACAAGAGGAGGAGGAGGAGGAGGAGGAGGAGGAGGAGGAGGAGGAGCAGGAGCAGGAGCAGGAGCAGGAGGAGGAGGAAGAGGAGGAGGAGGAGGAGGAGAAGCAGGAGGAGAAGGAGGAGGAGCAGGAGGAGAAGGAGAAGGAGGAGGAGGAGGAGAGGGGGGGAAATCAGCACAAGAGGAGGAGGAGGAGGAGGAGAAGGAGGAGGAGAATGAGGAGGAGGAGCAGAAGTAGGAGGAAGAGGAGGAGGAGGAGGGAGAAAACGAAGACATGGAGAGAAGGCCTATTGGGTGCGCTCTGGGGGGTTCCTGGTAGCCTGCTGGGGGTCTCTTCGGGGCCTCTTGGGGGCCTCTTGGGACCTCCTGGGCCGTCTTGCGAGCTGTTGGCCCGTCTGGCGCCTTCAGAGGCCGTGGTCAGGAGCTTTTCCAGGCCGTCTTGGTGCCCTCTTGGAGCGCTTTAGAGCCGCTGGCGCAGGGCATTGGGGCATCCGCACGCGCGAGCGGGGAGGCCGTCAAGAGGGCCATCGCCGCCGGCGACATGGAGGACGGCTGGCCCCGGAACGCCGTCTGGCTCGCCGGCAGGTGGCGTCCCCTCGTCGTCATCCTCTCGGGGGTGGACAGAACCCCCAACCGTGACACGTCGATTAGTGAATTGTCCTTTTTCGGTTCTCGAGATGGCGCCGTGACCGTTATTTTTCAGGCTTGCTCCCGCCAGGTTTGGGCCTCAGGTCGCTTTCACTAAACCACGTTTTACTCAACGGGGGTCTGTCCATCCCCGATCCTCTTTTGCCCGTGCATTTCTTTTCCTTGTAAGTAACCCTCCAGTCCGCGGCCAGTCGGAAGGGCGGGCCGGGCATCTCGCTGGAGGTTCCCTTACCTCTTACGACCCTGAAGTGTCAAGGCCGGCAACAGTTTCACACATGGAGTGCGGGTCGCTTCCAAAATGCGGCTCTCGCTTCAGCGCCGCTCACATTTAATTTCAAAATGTGCCAGAGCTTCACGGATTGAGGGCGGGTCGTTTTCAAAATGTGGTTATCGTTTCAACGCCGCGCGTTTTCGTTGTAGAAAGTTGCAAGAGGTTCTCAGCGATTGAGGGCAGGTAGGTTTCAACATGTGGTTGTCGTTTTAGCGCCGCGCGCATTCGTTATAGAAAATGTCAAGTTGCATGGATGGAGGACGGGTCGTTTTCAAAATGTTGTGCTCGCCTTAGCGCCGCGCGCATTCGTTATAGAAAACTACAAGAGTTGTGCGGATTGGGGGCGGGAGGTTTTCAAAATGCGGTTCTCGCGCCGCGCACACTCGTTATCCACAGTTGCAAGAGTTTCAAGTATGCAGGGCGGCTTCGTTTGAAATTGTGATATTGTTCAGCACCGTGCGCACTCGTCTTAAACATTTGCCAGAAGTTCACAGGTTCCCAGTGTTGACGTACCAGGAATTTTGTTTTGAAGCGATTCAGGTCCTGTGAGGCCCACCAGTAGCCTGTGATGAAGTTGGACTTGTCTTCTAGCGCAGGATCGTCAAGAAGGAACAGTCAGGTTGGCTCGTGGCCTTGAAGTGCAGAACAAACTGTGTTATGGCGTGCTTCAGCATCTTCAAACGATTGTCTCCTAAAGGAGCATTTCCCGCAGTGGAAATGAATATTTGCAGGAGCCTGCGAAGGGGGAGCCCGGAGGGAGTTTCAGTCCAGCATCGTTGTTCAGTCTTGGGTTTGTACTGGTCATCGCCTTCCTCCTGCTGCTACCGCTTCTCTTCTTTTTCTCTTCCGTACATAGGTACGGCCTGACCCGTCTGATTATGGACTGAGGAGCATCGAGCACAGAGTTCGTGTTGCTGAGCAAATGCTCCTCGTCGTTATCCTCCTCGTCCACATCTTCCTCGTCCTCTCCCTCCTCCTCCCTCTCCTCCATCTGTTTCCCTTGTAAAAAATTCCTCCCTGTCTAAGCACGAGACATGTCAGTAGGGCGGGCTGGACGTTGCGTCTGAGACTTTTTCGCATGTCATGCTCTTGAAGCTTGGAATTTGCGACAGCTTCACGGATGGAGGGTTGGTGGTGTTTAAAATGTGGCTCTCGCTTTGACGCCGCGCAGAAGATCAGCGGGAAGCACTTGACACCAGTCGTGATAACTGGGGTCGGCGCCAACACGTCTCCATTACAGGGCCCATCGTTGCCTTTCGGAGCATTCTGCGCGAGGCTTCTCAAACCCCACACGGTTGGTCAGCAACGGTGTTTCCGAATTTCTTGAAGAGCGGGGGTCTGAAAGCGGATAACACACATGTTGCCGTTCTAGACTCCGATTGTCTGTTCATGAAGTTGGCGACAAAGAACATCTTGGAGTCGATAGCACAATGGCGTTATTGCTAGTTTCGTGGCGGTCTGCAGCGATGCGCGTGCCGATTACAGGCGGGTACATTTCCCGAAGGCTTCTGAGGAGGCAACGCAGTACAGTAAGTTTCAGAGGCGGAGCCAGGATATCGACGAAAGGTTGCAGTTTTGGGCGAGCGACAGATAATCGCACCATGCGGATAACAAACTATCTGTTCACATAGCGGCGGTACGGCATGCAGCTATGACCACTCTGAGCGGTGCTGCAACATATTAACATATTCTGCAGCTTCCAGCATGTACTGGGAGGACGCTGAGTGTTTTGATGTTGCAGTTCGAAAGAGAAAGAGCAGGAACCACAGCAGAGTGGCCAAACACAATATTGGAAAACAGAAAAAGGGGGCACAACAAATATGTATTGTCAAATCTGGTGCGTCGGGAGATTGTCGTTGATGACAGACCTCCAGTCATCCTTGACTTGGTTTTGCGATGACACTGCGGATCGAACATGTAGGAAGCAGGCGTTGGGAAACAGAGGTAGGAAGTTTGCAGCGTCGAATGAACACCGAAGAAGATTCGACGCTGCCGTCGAGGTCTACGGAGCAGAAGCGCGGAGCGAGCATCAGATGGGCCACCTTTGTGTATCCCATCTTTGGATATTGTAATGGCCTCCAGCCAGTGCCGCCGATCAGGGACGCTCTGGATTCGGTGGACGGCGACGACGTCGACGACGAAGGCAATGACGACGATGACGCCGACGACGACGACGACGACGACGACGACGACGACGACGACGACGACGACGACGACGACGGGGGTCCCGGGGAAGGGCCTGGAAATGTCCGGGAGGGGGGTCGGGGAGAGTCCCGAGGGGACGGGTCCCGAGGAGAGTGCCTGGAGAGGTCCAGAGGGGGGAGCCGTGGGAGAGCCCCGAGGAGTGCCGCGGGGGGGGGGTCCCGAGGGGGGGGGTCCTGGGAAAGTCCCGACGGGAGAGTCCCAGGGTCTTTGGGCCCTCGAATTATAACAAATAAGAGCAACATATGAAGACGGAGGTCGCGCGTTCCCCGCGTACCCTTTCCCCGGCAGGGCCACCCCGGCACCCCCCCCAATCAGAGCTGAAGCTCTTGCGGAGGCTTTGTCGAACTCGCACGCCGGATCGGCGGATGTTCTTGGACCAGCCCATGCGCATAGCTGACCATACCCAGCCAGGCAACGATCAGATACCAGGAGTTGCGTGGAGACAGATAGGTCGGGGGCCGGGGGCCCAGTATGAGCCTCAGGATTCTTCGTGATAAACAACCAGTTGCGGGCCCTGGGAGAGGCATCTCATTTGAAAAAGTACAATGCGCGCCGGAAAGGGGGGGTCAACAGTAATTTTTGTTTCAGCCTTTAGAGGTCAACGGCAGCAACAGTAGCAATCGGTTCAAGATTGTTCGCTCCTATCTGCTTGCGCGTCGCACAGCTCGTATGTCCCCAAACCTGGGGTATCCGCCCTCTTCGTCTTCGATCGTACCCCCTTGGAGGTGCCACGTGCAGCCCCTAAAAAAGGGGAAGACAGGATGGATGGATGGATGGGGGAGGGGGGAGGGTGGAGCACGAGAGAAATTGGCAGAACCAGACGGGCAGATCAGGCGGGCAAATCCTTGCGGCGGATCGGGAAGGCAGGCCCAGGCGGCCAGGTCGAGAAGGCGGGTTGCTGAAGCGTGAGCCCTGCATTATGAGAAAGGCCAGAGCGAGAGCGTGATTCCTGAGTACCGAGGGTGCGACGTTTGAATTACTTGCGAGGACGTCCCCGCACGAGAGCGCGATTCCTGCATGCATTGTGAGGAAATCCTGCGCGAGAGCGCGGTTTCGGAATTAGGAAGTACAAGGGTGGAGCCGTTGTTGTTGTAGCCCGAGGGCCAAAGACACAATTCGAGCATGATGATTTCCCCTGACAAACATCACGGTGCGAGCCCCGTAGGGGTCACATTCATTCATCAAGCATTGTGCGCACAGGTGAGTGGGGATCAGTTTGTCCACAGTAGAAGATCAACAACATCAGCATCAACAGCATCAGCAACAAAAACCATGTCGAGACTGTTCTCTCTTATCTGCTCGCGGGCCGCTCAACGCCAAACCCTCGACGCCCGCGCCCTTCGTCTTCGATCGCACCCCCATAGATTCATTACATGTCGCGCGTAGGTGGCGCAGCCTTTTTTAAAAACAGGGGAATGGGGGGGAGGTGTGAAGAGAGACGGGGGAGGCAGAAGGGTGGAGCAGGCGGAAAAGTTCAGGAGGAGGGTTAGGATCGGGAGGAAAAGAAACATACAGACACAATTAATCCTCGATTCCCCAGAAAATATGGGAAAGTATGGGAAGTGGGGGGGAAGACGAAAACCCAGAAAATATAGGAAAATATGGGGGATCTTTTTATTTGTGTGTATTTATTTGTGTGTCCCAGGGCCCCTTCAGGTCAGGAGCAAGAGCACCAGACTGGCTTGTCGGGTGGGCGGACCCAGACGGGCAGGTCGGGCGGGCGGGCCCAGGCGGCCAGGTCGAGCGAGCGGGTCGCTGAAGCGTCAACCCATCATGAAATAAGTTTCGATTGATAACGCGATCCCCGAGTAAATTGTCAGGAAATCCAAAACCAGAGCGTGATTTGTGAGTCTCGGGGGCCCGGCGCCGCAATAATTTTGGATGAAATATTATGCGAGAGCACGGTTCTTGGATAGATTCTGAACAAGTCTTGCGCGAGAGCGCGAATGTGAAATAGATTGTGCGGAAGCATCAAGCAGGAGCCGTTGTTGTTGTAAACCGTGGGCCACAGACATGTGCATGATCTCCCCTGGTAAGGGAAACAGAGTGCGAGCCCCGACAGGATGTTGTTTATTATTAAAAGAATACAACGGACACCGAAGGGGGCGGGGGGTCAACAATAAGTATTCTTTAGAAGGCAGAACTCAAACAGTTCAAGATTGCCCGTTCCTTTCTGCACGCGTGCCAAGCACGTATACCGCATACCCCAAAATCTCGGTACCCGCCCTCTTCGTCTTCGATCGTATTCTTCGGGTGCATATTTTCTTTACTTGCCACGCGAAGCTAGCGCAGCCCATTAAGCAGGGGAGGAGGAAACGGATGGAAGGGGAAGGGGGAAGGATGGAGCACCAGAGAGATTAGCAGGAGGTGGGGCCGGAGCATAATACATGTGGCAGAACCAGACGGGCAGATCGGGCAGGTAGACCTTAACGGGCGGGTCGGGAAGGTGAGCCCAGGCGGCCAGGTCGAGCAGGCATGTTGCCGAAACGTGAGACCTGCATGAATCGCGAGGAAATTTCGGGCGACAGCGTGATTCCCAAGTAGTATAAGACAGGCCAAAGGGACAGCGTCATTCCTGAGTTTCGAGGGCGCGGCGTCTGAATAGATTACGAGGAGTCCACTACACGACAGAGCAAGTTCTTCATACATTGAAACGAGGTCCCACGCGACAGCGCGATGCTGGAATAGACTGTGAGGAATTATTAGGCGGGAGCCGCTGTTGTAGTAAATCGAGGGTCAACAACCCAATATGATCCGCAATATGTTCTTTGGTACGCGAACAGGGTGCGAACCCCGGGAGGAGCGTTTTTTTTATCGAAAAGCAATGGTCACCAGAGGTAATACTCAGTGTACGTTTTGAAATGAGAGCTCAGCAACCATGTTTAATAATCTTCTTCTCCGCTCGCGTATCGCTCATCCCGTATATCCGAAGTCCTCGGTACCCACCCTCTTCGTCTTCCCGACCAGCCGCGTGAAGCTGGCGCGGTTGTTTTACATAGGGGAACGAAGGGAGGGCGGACGAGACAAATGGGAGGAATAATCTTGAAACATTGGAGAGCTTTGCAGGAAGATGGTTAGGAGCAGGAGCACAGGCGGCAGAACCACACGGGCGGGTCGGGCGGGCGGACCCTCAAGGGCAGGTGGGCGGGTTCAGACGGCCAAGTCGAGCGGGCGGGTCGTTGAAGCGTCAAGCCCGTACGAAGCGCAGGGAAGTTTCGAGCGATAGCGCGATTCCCAGGTAAATGTTGGGTAAGCGAAGGCGTGATTTTCCTGAGTCTGCGGGCACGGCGCCGCAAGACTCTCAGAAAAAGTACCACACGAACGCGCCAGTCCTGGATAAATTGTTGTCGCTTCGCGAATCCCCACCAGCCCATCCAGAAACGATGCCCAGAGGAATTGCCTCGATCAGAGAAGTGGGCAGCACACAGAGGAAGCCATTATGAGACATCTTGGGATATCTTGAGCCATCTTGGAGGTCATTTTGGGCTCTCCCAGACGCTCTTGGAGTCATCTTAATCCGTGCCCCCCCCCAAGAGGCCTCCATGTGGCTATGAGGAACTCCCGCACGAGAGCGCGACTTTGATTATGGGGCGCGCATTTCATGTTGGCAGTCCGAGCGGGTCATCGCATCCCTGTAGCTGTCGTCATTTTGGGGCTTCTTTGATCTCAGTAGGGAGGAAATCTCGAGCGGGAGCCTCGTCTGTGAGTGAATCGCGTGGGAGTCTCCAGCGGGAGCCCCCTCCTTGTGGGGCCCGGGTTTTTGGTTTGCAGTCCAAGCGGGCCATCGCATTTTTGTAGTTGTCGTCATTTGGGGTCTCTTTGATTTGGATCTGGAGGAAATCTCGAGCGGGAGCCTCGACTGTGAGTGAATCGCCGGGAACTCTCCAACTGGAGCCTCCTCCTTGTGGGGCCCAGACTTTCCGTTGGCAATCCAACGGGCCATCCCATTCTTGTAATTGTCGTCATGTTTGGGTTCCTTTTAATTGGATTTGGAGGAACTCTCGACCAGGTGCCTCGTCTTTGAGTGAATCGCGGGGAAGTCTCCAGCGGGACCCCCCTCCTAGTGGGGCCCGGGCTACTTGTTGGCAGCCCGAGCGGGTCGCTGCATTCTTGTAATTGTCGTCACGCGTAGGCTTTCCAGGCCTGAGTATGGCAGAAGTCTCGAGCGGGAGCCTCGTCTGTGAATGAATTGCGAGTCAGTCTCAAGCGAGAGCCCCTTGCGTCGGGTCCTGTAGCCTAGCGCAGTGGCGTCAAAAGCGGCCTCCACACTTGCAAACAGTTGCAGGTCTCAGAACTTTCGCATGCACATGGGCACTCGGGCATCAGTGATGACACACGAGCACGCGCTTTGAGCTGGCGTTGCACAGGTTTGGGCACTATGGTGAGGCACCGAGCTGGTGAGCTGGCCACGAACTTGACATTGAGATGCGATGGAGCGGCAGCGGGAGAAGAGAAAGTCACATACCAGTTTGGTTAGGGCAGTGTCGGTTGAGAGCGGAGGGGGACGCACGATCAGCAGACGGAACCATGGCGACCAGCAGCCGTGTCGGCAG